CCCATAACTGACAACCCCCATCTGTTTAGTCTTCTCAGGACTTGTTTTAAAATACTAAAAATTGTGAAGCAGACAAATAAAATGTGATAAAAACTGATGCAGAAAGTCAGATGAGGTGAACTTTACCATTCAGTGAAGCTGGGACAACTTGCTGATCAGCTGTTTAGTTGTGTTTTTTAGTTGACATGATTGGCTCCACCGACTAATGAGCTGCTATTCTGGAGTTACAGCAGTTCTGTTTGGTGAGTTACAGGGTCAGAACATCCACTGATAGAGGAGGGGCTGAGTATGGTGGGGTTTTTTTGTATTATCACAGGAGCATCTGATGACGTTAATCTTAAAAGCATTATAAAAGCTCTGAACAGAGAGGTGGAAAATCTGAGGCTGAAGCAGCTGGAGAGCTTCGGTGTGAGCTGCAAAAAAATTCCGTCGAACTTTGGTTTCGTTTAGTTTGGCGTTTTTCATCCTGGTGTGCTGCAGCAGATGGAGAATTAAAGAAGGCCGGTGATGAGCTGCAGCTAACGAGGAAACAGACCCACCGCCGCTCTGCTGCTGTACATAGTTACCATGGGATACCTGTAAGCGAGCAGTGTCTCTTATGTCACCTACATGCAAACTGTATCCAATTAAAGCTCTGGGGCTTCTTGATCTCAGGTGCTCAGACGGTTCAGGATCACTGAAATGGAAGTGGATGTTTAAAAAACGGACTGCAGCTGTGTCACTGAAACTCTGAAACTTGTTAGTCCTGGTCCTTTAAACTGCAGTCGGCTTTGTGAAATATTACGACTGCTCACAGGGGGACTTGGTGAATCAATAGGCCTATCTGCCGAGCTAACCACTAACAACAAAACAGTTTGCTGTTTCATGGAGGGTTATGTGCTGGACTAATTCCTGGCTGGGACCAGTAACTTCCTGGAGTCTCCACTGGCTGCACAGAGCCAAGAAAAAGCTGCATAATCCCTGTAAAACAGCAAACAATTTAGTTTTTCATCAAACACCATTTCCTCGCTGGACACCCCAGTCTCTCACTCCTTTGTGGTTTTGTGTGTGTGTTAGCTTCCATCCTCTGACCTTTAACCTTTGTGCCAGATATGATTACACTCAGAGGAACGAAGGTTAAAGTGTCCTCTCCTCTGGATGTCGTGTTGCTGGCTATGAGAAAGTGACCTTTGACCCTTTAAACATGTATATAAACTGCTGATGCACAGAGCTCACAGAGGTCTTAATGTAGTCACACATACAGGAGGAAGAGGAGGAGCGGGTGATAAACCTCATCACAGCAGCTCTCAGACAGAGATGAGACAGTTTATTAGCTTCCATGTAGCCGTGAGGTTAACCGGAGGGGGAGAACACATCACATATAAAACAGCAGTCATGTTAATGCAGGCTGTCAGATGTAGTTATGAGATTCATTAAAAGTGCAGAGATCTCAACAGTGTTAGTGTTTTTTAAGAAGAAATGTCAACCTGTTAAATATGAATTTTATTAAGCTACTTACTATTAAGTAAGTGAATCTTTTAAACTGGCACTCACTGCTGTGAAGGGAGGTTCAAACTTTCAAACTTTCTGTAGCCTTAGTCACTTTTTAAAAATGATCTTCACTTGTGGATGTATAGACAGAGTAACTGTTTTTATTTTCTTCTGTTTCTATTTCAATGTTGGTTTTTTTGGTAGGACTGTGATTGGTTCCCCTCCAGCGTCTCTCTCGGACTACTTTTTTTTTTTTTTCATTTAAAAAATATATTGCGTTGAGTCTGTCCATCATTAACGATACATCATAAGGGTTATTTTCTCATCCTGGGCTGAGTTCTACACCAACCCTGTCCTATATCTTTTTTAGGGATGTAATTTGTTTCCACATCGACAAGTTTTATAGGACATTTGATTTTGTCAGGAGCTTGTCTGTTTTTGAGAGTGACACAGACATTAATCCACTGGAACGATAACTCACCTGATGGACAGCAGCGATGACGGAGCTGATAGAAACAATACTGTCTTCGTTCTTGTTTCACAAAGGTGCTTCTGACAGCAAATGCTGCTTGTTGCATCAAAACCTCTCAGCTCCTGACTGCTTTTGACAAGAGAAGTTCTCTTCTGACATTTTTTGAGACATCCAGTCAAAAGTGCATCACAGCAGTTAGGGGCCCCTGGGGCCAAAATAGTTGAATGCAATTGAAACATTTAGGAGGATCTATTGGCAGTAATTGAACATAATATTCATAGGTATGTTTTCATCAGTGAATAATCGCCTGAATATACTTGATGATACTTGAATTATAAAAAAAAAAGTTTTTCTCTGTACATAAAACTGAAATTAAGAAAAAAAAGAGCAAAGGAACTAGAAACATTTTCTTTGTTGCAGTTTCGTCTGCTTCTCCGATGATTACATATTTAAAGTAAAAGTAGCCCAGTAATGCTATCGGCTGCCTCCAGTGATCCTTTGACCCTCACCTTGCAGGCCGTAGTGGTCCCTCAATAGTCTCTATCCACATCACTACATAGAAGCCTGCTTGTCTCTTTTGTCCTGCTGGAAAAAGGTTCCCTCATTCATGCTTCAGCCATTTCCCAGACTGACAGAAGGAAAAAGGAAATGACCAGCTGCTCAATCAGAGACACTACTGAAGTAGTTAAATGGGCTGCTGCTGTTGTTGTTGCTGACACTGTTGTTGTTTTTCCTCCTCTGACCCCACTGACCTCCGTCCTTCTGAAGAACTGTTCCCTCTGTTCTCCTTACTCTGAGGTCCTGGTTGTTGTAGGTCCGGTCCTTTCTGAAGAGGGGGCTCTATTGATGACAGTTCATCAGCATGCAGGGGGGGCTTCTGCTGTCACCACGGCGACCGAATACAGCCACCCCCCCAACTCCCAGGACTTCTGTCCCTTCTGATTCTCTTGACATTCATTCCTCCATCATTCAGCCTCTGCTTCAACTGAACTCAATGAAGATTTCTCTATAATGATACATAGAACCAGATGTTTGTTTTCAGTTCCCAGTTCAGCAACCTGTTTTTTATCTACTCTACATTGCTTTAGGGATGGCAATCTTGGTCTGTTAGTCGGTCCACACTTAAATGACTGTTGGACTATTGAATAGACTGCTTTGACATTTTGTACAAACGTTCATGGTGCCCAGGGGTTGACTCCTACTTTGGATTAGCAAAAAAATCTGGTACAGATATTGATGGTTCACAGATGATCAATCTGACTTGATTAACTTCCTGACGCTTGTGCTCTAGCACTACCATAACGTTCACATTTGTGGTTTTTAGTGAAATTTATCGACAACTGTTGGACGGATTGTCAGGAAATTTGGTACAGACATTTAGTTCAAGCATCAAGGAAATGTATTTGTCATCAAACAATACAGGTTGTACGACAAAATAAAAGTTTGCAGTCCCTTCATGCTACGCACACAGAAAAAGATAAATGCATTTATAGAATAACATAGAAATAAAATAAAATAAACCAACATATACAATTATTTATATACATTTAGGAGAGAATTCTGCAGTAAACTTTTAAAATTCTGGTTGAATGTTAAGAACAGCAACAAGATAGTGATGATAATATGGTTACATATTCACATAAAAAGTTCCAACATTTGAGAAACAGTGTCCATCCACTTTGACTGCATTTAAGCACCAAGCATCCTTGATGTAAACACAGACTCTGCCTCCTCTTCTTCGCTTGCACTCTGTTGGGTCGGTACATGGTCGAGTGCTTGATCTGGGATATTCATGGAGTAGGTCTCTGTAAAGATGTGAACACAACAGTCTCTGATTTCGCATTGTTTGGCCAGTTTAATTTCTTCCAGAGCGGACATTAGCCGGGAGCAGGCTTAAGTCAAAGCTATATACATATATATATATAAAATACATATCTTCCTCCACCGGCAGGTTATGCACTGATACATGAAGCTTCGGTAATCATACTGTGAGGGGGAACAGTAACCACTGAGGACTAATAGAGAAATGGACACGGTGTCAAAGCATTCAAAGAATTTCAATAGTGAGCTGAACCTCCATCCTTTTATTCAACTTTCCTTGGCGGCGTTCAAACATGCCCTGTAGGTTTGAACCATTCAGTGGTTTCATACATTCATACAAAGCACCTTGTTTTGCATCGCCTTGTGAACCAGCCACCTTTGACCTCCTTTTTAACTAGTGCACAATCTAACCCGCTGTTGACTCTCAAGCTGCATTACAATGTGAACAGAGACAGAAACAGAAAAAAGGCAATGTTTGAGAGGTATCCAGAGACTGTGGACAGTTGTTTAGCTAACGTCTGCAGTCTCTCCTGCTGCTTTCTCTTCAATAAAACTTCAGTTGAATAGAACTTTAAGTATTATCTCCCACAGATTTGTCTTCAGATGTTAGTTTTTCGTTATATCAGCATTCCTACAGTCAGCACAATTACTGTTAGGACAAATGATCATATCCAACAAGATGTAACAATAAAAAGATTGTATTTTCAATATAAAATATCTTGAAAATCTTGAACTCTGTCTAACTCTACTACAGGCTACAACGTGTAAATCAGACAACTTTTGAGTTGATGGAAGGTGGACTTTTTTCTTTTTTGATACTAGCAGTTTCTGCTATTTCCAGTCTTTTTGCTAAGCTAAGCTAAACACATCCACCACCTATTTTACAAAAAGTGTTCCTTTATACTATACACCGCTCAGTGGCTTATAATTAGCAGGTAGATGATATTTACTGTCCAGCTAATAGTTGTTAGCTCATTAGCAGGAAATGGCTGTTGTTTGGGGGTTTAAAGCTCATCTGTCAACAAGCCCATTTGACTTTACTTACACAATGCACAAAGAATATCACTGTAGCTTTTTGTTGACTCTCCAACTGAGGCCCTGCAAAGTAAGTTAGACACTGACAGAAAAGAAGGGTAATTAAAAGAAAAATGTTTGTAAATGAATATAAAATGTTTGATACCAAAATGAAAACAGCTAAAACATGCAGTTACATGATTTACTTCCATGCATCCCTCAGGACACCTGGCAGCGGGGACCTGTGAGATTGTTACTCTGGACCGGGATAGCAGCCAGCCGAGAAGGACCATCGCCCGACAGACGGCCCGCTGCGCCTGCAGGAAGGGACAGATCGCTGGGACGACACGAGCCAGACCGGCCTGTGTTGACGGTAAGGCATCGCCGTCCTCTGGCAGCTTCTGCCAATAAATCCTCAACATTTAACGACAAAATACTTTATATGTCCACGCCCAACGAGAGCGACACAAAGTGTTTTCTGATCTGATGCTCCCATTATCAAGATGACATTCATCATCTGATGTGATCAGGTCTGGATGTTGTATTTGGACAGTTGCTTTGACAACCGGTGCTGTTGTCCTTCCTGGGGGTACAGTTTCTCTGCTTCTAATTGGTGGAGACATCCAGGGACAACAGAATATGATGTCAGATTCACCTCCTTTCAGTTTTAGGCAATTTGGGACATCCAGCTTTCATTAAGGCAGGTGAGTAGATCCATAGTATTGCATTACTTCTTCCACTAGTGTGCTTTTGATTCCAGTATGCTTTCATACTTCCACATTTCTCAAGCATTTTAATTAACATGTCTCTGAGACTGAATGTCAGTTCACAGCTTGAGGCTTGAACTTGTAATTTATGAAGGAAACAAACACACAGATACATACAGCTTCTCTCTAAATCCTCCACATCTCTTCATCCGGACCACGAGGTTCAGAAAGTCAAGGCCCAGATGGGAACAGCCCAGAGTTGCATTGCATTTCATCACCGGCTGTCTCCTCCTTTCTCTTTCTCTTTCTGCCATCTGGAGACGATGGCAACAGCTGGGGGGACTTAGTCTGCTCTGCAGGGATTTACAGGCTCTCCTGGCGATTGTCAGAGACTGTGAACAGTTGTTTAGCAGAGTTAAAGAACCTCTGCAGTCTCTCTGCTTTCGCTTCAATAAAGTTGAAGAAGAAGATATTTTTCCTCACATTAGCATTGATTTCCTGCAGTCAGGATGATTCGAGCTAGGACAAACTATTCAAAATCAATATTTAAGATTGTATTTTCACCTAATCAGCCAAAAAACTTAACTGAACAGGTTTGAGGTCTGCCCTAACTCTACTATCTACTACTGGGTAGATTGGTGCCTCTCTAGATAACAGTTAGTTAATTAGCAGTAAAAGTCTGTGGTTTAAAGGGTAACTACAATCTCACATTCTGCTAGAGCTCCCTCTCCCAATGTGTTTAAAAAATTGCAAAAGAGGAGTGAGGTAGCAACGGTCTAGACATATGTGATGTGGGGGTGAGTGACTGCCCACCGCTCAGTGCAGCATGGACAGAGATGTATAGAGCTGGCAGTCAGAGCTCAGCTACTGTCAGACTCTCCATTTTTTCTTGTGGAGAGACGGGGAGTCTGGTGTGGCTTTTTCACTCACTAGAAGCACACGGCGCTTTGAGAGAGGCACTATGGGTACCTGTGTTGTAGCTTGGCTAGCAGCTCTACTGTGAAAGGCTTGTGTGTCTGTGAGGGAGCGTCAGTACATAATTATAGTCCTGCTGTTTACGTTACTGTTCGTCAGCCCTAAATATCTTGTTATGCTCTGAACAGAATTATTGGCGGGGGCCATGTATTGCCTATCTGTCACGATTGGGGGGAGCAAGAGCTGTTTTTACTTATAGAGTATATATTTAATGTGTAGTTCCTCTTTAAAACAGCCTTCAACTCGAAAAAACGTTGTCATGGTGATGTGAACATGCGTGGTAAACACATTACAAAAGACTATCTGAATAAGAAAACTGGTTTTATTTAGGAATGAGTACAGAAACCGGGTTTGTGTTGGAGCTGAACAGGTTAATGTTTGTGCTGTCAGTGATCAGGGCTGTTTGAACGTGCTCTGCTGCTTTGGGAGGATATTTTCAGCAGGAGACTCGATGTGAGAATAGCTGCTGATCGCTGCGACCTGTTTTCTGAGCTCCGAGACTCATCAGCAGCTTCCTGTTTTTTTGTCCTCCCCGAATGTCTCTGAAAAACTAAAACCAAACTTGTTTAAACTCTTAGTGAACTCTTCATTGCAGTCAACGGCCAGAAAAAAAAAAAAAAAACCCAACAACAAACTGATAAACGTAATACGAAGTACTATACGGATAAAAGTAGAGCTATGTAGACACGGAAACATTCCAGCCATAGGACATATGTTTGGACAGATATTGTGATGTAAATTAGAGAACACTAATACAAATGTTAGTGATGGCAAAGACAGTCAAAGCCCCTCAGGGTGAGCAGACTCATTTGATGTATTGATCATTCTTCATTGATCAATCTTCAACGGTGTTCAATGTGAATGACAAGTCATTGTAACTGTCAAACAAAAAGTATGTAGTGCAAACTTTATCCTTCATATGAGTCTCTCTGTGACCTTTACAGAGCTGCATGTTGGTATTTATGTCAGTTTGTGTTTTATGTTGCAGTCTCAGGTAGCATAAGCTCTAAAGTTTCTTCACTGTTTCAGGGAAAAAAACTGGCGTAGCTCAAATAAAATACAACTTTATTCTACCAAGTAAACAAATACAAGCTACAAAACAAAGGTGTCTCCATAACGGGAAGAACAAAAAGACCCACACTCACATCATGAGACCTGCACGCAGTGGTGGAAGAAGTATTCAGATAATTTACTTAAAGGACCAGTGTGTAGGATTTAGTCGCATCTAACAATGAAGTTCTAAACTATAACCATTCAAATTCAGCTCAGCTTCATAAGTGTGAAGGAGAAACTACAGTGGCTGTGAAAGGCGCAAAAACGTGAAAGGGTCTATCTAGAACCAGCATCTGGTTTGTCCGTTCTGGGATACTTTACTACCATTATTAAAAAAACGGTTCAAGTTAACTAAAACACAACGATTATTATATTCAGGTGATTATACCCTAATGAAAACATACTCTGCCAATAGATCCTTCTAAATGTTACACACTGGACCCCTAAAGCAGCTACAAGGAACTTTCATTTTGTGTTGATTCAATAAAGTTCTGACTTACTTGAATTAATCTTAAAAACTTTAGACAAACTAGCTTTTCAGATGTTTTTAAAGTGGGTGGCTAGAGCAGTCAGCATTCAAAAAGTCTTAAATAAAAGCCTCTGTTTGCATTTCTGTGACCTTTCCGCTGCCGGTGAGAACTGCATGTTGGTATTTATGTCAGTTTGTATCTGAAGCAGCCACTCGCTTTGCTTTTTGTTGTTCTGTTGTTTAAATCCTCCCGCAGACCTCCGACCACCAAGCTCAGAGGAAGGATCAGACTTTTTATCTGTCGTCTCACATCTCAAAGCTCTGGCTCAAACACCTCGGCTGACTTTAACCATGAGTCTTTCCCACTCTGAGTGGGATAATCCCGGTATGCATCACAGAAAGTCACACGGAGAGTAATTATCATCAGAGAGGGCCAACATATTTACAGATAAAGGTTAAAAAGTCTCCAAGTTTCAATTTATAAAGAATTTGTCAGACTCTGAAGCTGCTGCTGTTCATATAATTCATAAAAAAAAATCTGAATCCTGAAAAATGGCCACAGAATATGCTTCTGATCCAACTCCTCTACTTTTCACACCTCATCTGAGCAGTAAAATTACTGTTACTGTTTCAGAATATTACCCGCTGCTGCTTTGTATCAGACATTGATGGTATGAGATTGACAAGCGATGAATAAAAAAGGCCACAAGGCTCTGTGGCTGTAGTAAAACAAACAAACGAGATACGACACCCTTTTGTTTCTCATCAGCTGGAGAGGAACTGAAAAGGGCAGAGAGGTGGTGTGTTCAGGGACTGTGAGGGGGTTCAGAGCGATTCCTAGAGTCCGAGAGAGGTTAAAACCTGCTCTGACCTCAGACCTGAAGAGCCAGAAGAGAGGAAAAGAAAATATGGAAGGGAATGAAAGGAGAGTTTTGTATCTCATAATTATATTTATCTCTATATTTATCTGAGATCTGAGATCTGTATGAAAAACTATCTCATTATTATGTTATATATGTCACATAATTAGCCTACATAAACATTTATTTGGGGGTAATGAAATCTGTGTTTTGTAATTACAGAGAGAACTATTTTGGAATTATTTATTTCCTATGAGAAATGAAAAGATCTCACACTTCCAAGAAATTATATATAAAATAAATAATTTTAATCAGGAGATGTTTGTCTTGTAATTATGCTATTGTTTCTGTATCCTGTAATTGCGACCCTGAAAGCTATATGGTAATTACTTTTATTATTTTTCTATCTGTGTCATAATTAAGAGAAAACATCTTTGTTGAATGCAGTGTGTTCCTGCAGAAAATAAAGTGAAACAGACCCAGGAAAGGACGACAATTATAGTAAAGAAAAAGTTGATTACAAAAAGGGACGCAAACAGCACAGGAGAGTAAGAGAAATGGAGAAAAAAAACAAAAGGAAAGGCACAAAAAGGAGGATTATCTTTCCCTCTGTGGCTCATCGAAATCTATATGTCCCTTCTCAAAAAGAGGAATAATTTAGGTTTATGTGTCCACTTCCTGTTGTAGTTTTTATTTTTTATTTTCTTCCATCTGTTTGTTCTTTGCCTTGTTTCCTGTTCCTTTGTTCCTCGTTCTTTCGTCTCCGTTCCTCTCGTCCTTGGGGGACGAAGCAGCGTCTCTCCTTCTGGATGGCGTCTTTGATGAATGAAGCGATTACAAGATGGCCTCCTCTCTTTTCGGATAAATGAACTGCGCTGAGCGGCGGCGGCGGATGGATCTGCGTTGCGCTCCTTCATTAATCAGCACGGTGATGCAGCACTCGCAGGTGTTCAGGTGTTCACTGATACCTGAGATTAATCCACAACACTGTTTGTTAATGTGGAAGTCTGCTTTCTGTTTCTGACTGTTTTCCATATTTAACACCTGAAAACACACTGATTTCCCTCGAAACTGAACTAAACTCAGACTGTAGATAAGATGGTGCAGTTGGGTGTCCACTTACGGATGAGGTTGCTGGTTCAGTTCAGTTTTTTCAGTTAGGATGTGCTTAAAAACATTGTACATTTGTATAAATATAACTGAAGTTTATATCAATACAGCACTTATGTTGTGACTGTGACCTTGGATTTAGGGCTGATCAGTTACAGTAATGTAACTGTATGAGCCATTACATTTTGTCTCCTTCCCT